CCAGGACACCTCTCGTGATTATGCCGGATGTGATTGTGCTTGTAGGGCTTCCGGGTAGACATGAAGAATTGATTTCGAGCACTCGTAGGGTTCATGCATCGTGGGCCACTGCCTCAAATGTACAGCTCACCTGCTTCCTAGACGCCCGTAGTAACACTCTGGTGAAGCCACTCTAGCACACATTTACTGGTGCAATATTTAGTACGTTTCTGGTAGATGGCCGCCTCACAAAGCCCAATGCTTGGAGCATTGGCAAGCACATTGGGGCTGAGCAGTAGCAGAGAACACATTATGCCTGGAACACCTAGGTGCGGCGATGTCGCTCGACAACCGGGGGAGTTGTTTTTTGCGGTCGGCAGTTGACTAACCTTGACAACGATATGTTCTAGGGCAAGTACGCGGAGGCGGACAATCTGTACCTTCGAGCTATCGAGATTGGAGAGAGGTCCTTTGGCCCGGATCACCCGGATTTTGCGTTGTGGCTCGGCAATCGGACGTCGTTGTTAGAGAAAAAGGTGAGCGTTACAGAGACGTCAAAGAAGATTTTCTTGCTATTCTGGTATGTAGTTGTTGACCCTCTCTGATATGTGACTCTCCACGATCTGTGCCGTTGCTCTGTGGCCCGTTCGGTACAGGGCGCGCATGAGGATGAAGCTCGACTCCACGGTCGGCGTGACCACCGCAATATGACTAAGGACCTTCACGACAGGGCTGAAAGGTTGAGAAAACAGGTGACGATCTCAGAAAATCCTGCTTACGCTCGATTCAACAATCGAACGGTAGTCCGGTAAAGTCGGGGAAAGTTTCGAGAAACCTCGTATGGTGCCGTAGGTATACGTGGTTTAGTTGTTTTAGTCTCGGTGTCCCCTCACATAACAAGGCACGAAGCCACTGCTTGTTCAATCGGATAAATTCATATCTTCGAGCGAAATCCCCTATCCCCAACCAACTTACTGGGGATCAGACGCAAGGCGGTCGTTGCCCATACCTTGAGGCCAGTCTCAATATCCGGAGCGTGGTTATTGTGCCTCGTGGTCCAGGGCAAGTACGCTGAGGCGGACCCTGTGTACCTGGAAGCTATCGAGATCCAGCAGAAGACGATAGGTCCTGACCACCCAGAATTTGTCAAAACGCTCAATGGCCGAGCCTTATCATTGAAGGGTCAGGTGAGGGGCCAACAATGGTTGCAGGAAGGGTCGTGCGGTAATCTGTGCGTTTTTTAGGCGGGCGGGGTTGCTGTTTGTCAGGGTATGGATATTGTGTTACGGTTTTCTCGCACGATCCGCACCATTTTTTGTGAACCGTTTTGTTTCGTGATGGCCAAAGGTGAGCATCACATCGACGTGTTGTCTGCGACCTTGAATGTTCACTGAGACTGAGGAGCCGAACGAGCGGGCATTGGCCGCAAAAGAGAACATCTTCTGCGAATGGACGCTATTGAACGATCCTAGTGTGCTTGAGCGAAATGTTTCGTTTCGCACTTCCTGACACGACCACGTTCATGGCATGTCGCGTATTCCCCTCGCACTGCAGGGCAATTATGCCGAGGCGGATTCTCTGTCCCTCCGAGCTATCGAGATTGTAGAGAAAACGTTGGGCCCTGCCCACCCCAATCTTGCTCCATGTCTCAGCATCCGGGCATCAATTTTGAAGGAACAGGTGGGAGCGCTGACTTTGTCAAGCGACTTCCCGTGGTGATATACATAGGTCTAGCGCGGGTTGGAGGCCGACCGGTTTTTGATTTTGCAAGAGAGTTTGGATTGGTCCACGCATTTGGGGAATTATGATATTTTGTGGCCGGTGGGCAACAATTTACAACAACACGCTGTTGCACCCTGTGAGCGGCCCATTTCTTCTGGATCTGGAGCGTGCGAGTTTTGTCCAATTGTTCAAAACCAAGGTGTGGGGTTTTGAGTATTTGCTTCTCCGCGGTAGACTGCGCTCGAAATGATGGCACTATTACCTTGCCCCCTCCGATACCCCAGGGGAAGTACGCTGAGGCAGGCCCTCTGACGCTTCGAGCTATCAAGATTGGAGAGAAGACACTGGGTCCCGGCCACCCTGATGTTGCTGGATGGCTCAGCAATCGGGCGGATTTATTGCGTGCAGAGGTGAAAGCGATCAGAACTTGCCAGGCTGCAGCACGGGGTGATATTGTTGACTGCTTCGTCCGGTGGGATGAGAAATGCAAAATATGTTAATCCCGCCTTCACTTTCATTGGCGACACGTTTCGCGTTTGATTCGCTGCTGCTTCACAACTGCAACCAACTGTTGTACGTGAAAAGTTCACTCAGTCACTTCAGTTGAGGGGACAGGCCTTATGAGAGAAGCGTTAGCCACTCGATCCAGAGTGAGTTCAGATCCGAGTGAATGAGAGGGTGTGCTGATTGGAGTGAATTTACCCCACGACGTATCTTGATGGCGCTCCTACGTATATCGTGCCCCTTCGTACCCAAGTGCAAGTACGCTGAGGCAGATGCTCTGTACGTTCGAGCTATCGAGATCGGAGAAAACACGCTAGGCCCTGAGCACCCCGATCTTGCTACGAGGCTCAGCAACCGGGCTTTGGTGTTAAGAGCACAGGTGAGTGGCGTGTTGAGCAGTCAGGTAGGGTGCAGAGCTGAGAAATCGGAAGGGGAGTTGGTTCGGTTACACAGAACTTTGGTTTGGTTCTTAGTTTTCGGTGGGCCGATTCCTTAAAACAACAAAATCCTTGCCACAATGTGGAGACCGATCAGCGCAGAAGCCACCATGGAGTGGAAACTCATTCTGAAACATCCGCATGATTGACTAGTCGTCTAACAGCCACGCTCGTAGTCGTTTGTGTTTTAGACTGTTTGTTCGCCGTGAGCTTCACTATCCTTGATCACTTGCCCATACTATTTCCTCGTTATGCCAGTGGAAGATTCCTGAGGCGGACTCTCTGTCCCTTCGAGCTACCGACATCGGGGAGAAAACGCTAGGCCCTGAGCACCCTGACCATGCTGCAATTCTCACTGCTCGGGCGTGGGTGCTAGCGGCACAGGTTAGAGCCGTCAGTATTCGAATTGGTACTTCGCGTGGTTGCCCTTGGATGCTGTTGTAGACTGTTGACCAGTCAAGAAAAGTTGAGAGCGTTTCGTGGAACTTTCGGTTGTGTCCAAGCATTTGTTTGTGAACAAATTACATTGTTTCCGGCAGGGGACGCCCTTACCACATCAGCCCTGTAGATAGCTACACATGGGAAGTGTGCTCAGGCCGAGACACGCGATGACCGGTCAGAGGCTAGGCGAGATTCGACACGGGGGCGGGAGCGTCCGGATATCGGTAGATCGATGACCTCGCTTTTTTTGTTGAACCTGCAGTAGGACCGACAAGTCTTGAGCTCAATCCTACTGTATTTCCCTCTTGCTGTAGGGCAAGAATTCTGAGGCAGGCCGTCTATACCTTCGAGCCATCGAGATCGGGGAGATGACATTGGGTCCCGACCACTTGATGGTTGCCACCATGCTCAACAGCCGGGCGTTGTTTTTGGAGAAACAGGTAAGAATGGCTGAAATATGTAACTGGAAACGGGTACTGGTGAACCATGTTTGTTGTAGTGTGGGCGGGAGTGTGCAGTATGGTTTCAGATGGATTCTTGGAATTTTGTTGGAAGTTTCGTAGGGTTAAATCACAAGTTTTGGTGCAACGGTTCGATTCTAGTGAGCCACGGCTTCCCAGAGCCCAATGCTTGCAACAGTGGCAAGCGCTTGCAACATTGGCAAGTGCCTTGAGGCTGAGCCGTATGAGAGAACGCACTGTGTCTGCAACACCCTGGTGTGGCTTAACCGCTCAACATTTTGGGTGTGTTTGTTGAGCGGTTGATCCTCGGCGGTAATCTTGGGTAGTCTTGCCAACGATGCTCCCGTCATACTCCAGGGCAAGCATGCGGAGGCCGAGCCTCTGTACGTTCGAGCTATCGACACATTGGGCCCTGACCACCCTGATTTCGCGGTATGGCTCGGCAACCGGGCGTCATTGCTAGAGAAGCGGGTGAGAGCGGTGATCAATGTCCAGGAATCCTCTGTTGTGACTAGTTGTTGGACGTTGTATTATAGCTCTTGCAGGTATCCCGGACGAGTTGGAGAGAGGTTCCCGCCCGGTGCACACATGTGTTAGTGCAATCCATCGTGTTTGGTGAGCGACATTGCCTCAAGCGCGGCCTATCTCCTTGCTACCCATTGATTTCATGTGCAGGCTAGCCACACCGACTGTTCAGAAGGTACGAAAACAGGCCCTGTGCCTGGAAATCCGTACACGACCCAACTGCTCAACATCAAGCCCATGTGTGTTTTGCGGGTGTTCCTCTGCAATAGACCGGCGAGCCTAGAGTGTTCCTGCTCAATCCCCTCCATATTCCAGGGAAATGATTCTGAGGCGGACCATCTATCCCTTCGAGCCATCGAGATTGGGGACAAGAAGTTGGGCCCTGACCACCCGGAGCTTGCTACCATGCTCAGCAACCGGGCGGTATTGTTGGAGAAACAGGTGAAAGCTTGCTGCTGCTACCGAAAAACGTGTAATGGTGACCTACCTTTCTTGGATGTTGGAGTTTAGATAGTGTTGAGGAACATTATTGGAAACTTTGTATGTTTGGCACACAATGTGTTGGTGCGAGGTTTTCGTTTCTCATGAACCACGGTCTCAAAAAGCCCAGCACTTACAAGAGTTACGAGAACGCAAAGGCTGAGCCATAGGAGAATACTCTCGGTTTGGAACATATCGACACGGCTCACTCGCTCAACAACCAGGCGCGGATGTTCTCAACAACCGGGCTTGGATGCTGAGCGGTTGTTCTTCTGCTGTAGCCTTGACTAGCCTTTCCTACGGTCTAAACATATTTCCCGTCATTCTTCAGGGTAAGCATACGGAGGCCGACTCTCTGTCCCTTCGAGCTATCGCCATTAGGGAGAGAACCCTGGGACCCGACCACCCCGATTTTTCTCGATGGCTGGTCAACCGGGCGTCGTTGTTAGAGAAACAGGTGAGACCTTGCAGCAAATTGCAGGAGGCCTCTCGTGATGTTCTGCTGGATGTTGTAAGGCTTGCAGGATGTCCCGGTAGATTTGAACCGTTATGTTGGAGTTCTCATAGGGTTCATGCATGCGTTGTCGGAAGGTATCGTCTTGCGTGGGCGACTGCGTCAAATGTTCCGCTTGAGTGCTTCCTACACGTGTACGCTGAGTCCAAGCCACTCTATGGCCGTTCAGAACCAAAAACAAGATCCCACTCTGTGTCTGGAACACCCCGGCGTGACCCAATGCTTCTCCTGAGTTCAGATCCTTTGTTTTCCCCCATCATACTTCAGGGCAAGGTTTCTGAGGCGGCCCATCTGTGCCTTCGAGCCATCGAAATTGGCGAGGAAACGCTAGGCCCTGACCACCCTGATCTTGCTGGATGGCTCAACGACCGGGCGGTACTGTTAGAGAAACAGGTGCGAGCTGACTGAGATTGCAGGGAAGCGTGTGCTGGTGACATTTACATCTTGGAGTGCAGGCGAGAGTACTCACTATCTGACTTGAAACAACTTTGGTACGGCGCACGCATGTGTTGGCGCAATCTTTTGTTGGTCGGCCACGGCCTCACAGCGCCTAGTGAGTGCAACAATGGCAAGAACGGTGAGGCTGAGCAACAGGAGATGACCCACTGCTATGTTTGTGGCATGCGGATGCGGCGCAATCGCTCAAGATAAGGACGTATTTGGGCGTCTTCCTCGGGTGTAGGTGGGCTTGACTAACCTTGACCGCGGTCCGCGATTTTACGTCATAATCCAGGGCAAGTATGCCGAGGCGGATCCTATGTACATTCGAGCTATTGATATCGGTGAGAGGACATTGGGCCCTGACCACCCCAACCTTGCCGTATGGCTCGGCAATTGGGCGTCGTTGTTGGAGAAACAGGTGAGAGCTTACGGATGTTTCGAGGAAGCCTCTGGTGATTTTGTCATGGACGGTATTACGGCATGTCTCGGCAGCGTTGTGTGGGTGTTCTCGCAGGGTTCGCGTATCATTTGATGCGTTGTACCGTGTTTGGTGGGGCCCCTCCTCGTCAAGCTGCTAGGTACACGTGGGTCTGCCAGAAGCTACAGTGCAGTAGGTTCACTAGCCTTGAACTCCTCTGTCTACCCCTCATGCGTTAGGGCAAGGGTTCTGAAGCGGGCCGGCTATACCTTCGAGCCATCCAGATTGGAGAGAAAACTCTGGGCCCTGACCACCTGCAGCTGGCCGCCATGCTAAACAATTGGGCGGTAGTCGTGGAGAAACAGGTGAGAGCCGACAGAGGATACCAGCAAACGTGTCCGACCTGTGGATGGTTGTAGTGTGGGTGAGAGTACTCGCTAGATGAAGCTGAGGAACGTTCTCGGGAATTCGCCCGGTGCACCCTGTGTTGGTGTAATATTTCGTTTCTTGTAGGCCATGGTCTGACGAAGCCCAGTGCTTGGGCGCAAGCACGCCGAGGCTGAGCCATAGGAGACCACGCACCTTGCCTCGAACATCTGGATGTAGCCTTCATCGTGCAACAACCGGGTGTGGACGTCTTGCGTTCAACGCTTGGTTGTACACCTGACTAGCCTTGACGACGATCCTCACGGGTTTTCCCGTCATGTTCCAGGGCAAGTATACTGAGGCAGACCCTCTGTATCTTCGAGCTATCGACATCGGGGAGCGGGTGCTGGGCCGTGACCACCCGGATTTTGGTGTTTGGCTGGGCAATCGGGCGTCCTTGTTGGTCAAACAGGTGGGAGCTTGCAGATATTTTCAGGACGCCTCTCGTGATTGTTTGTGCTTGCAGGATGTGCCGATAGACTTGCCGAAGTGTGTTTGGGGGGTTCGCGATGGGTTGGCGCTTGTATTGGCGCAATTCGTCCTGTCTGGTAGAAAACCGATTCACCACAAGAGCCCGCATACTAGCGCCGCATGAGACGTACGCTGAGACCGAGACTCTCGATGATCGGAAAAAGTCTCTACAACGCTTGGCCTGCAGCGTCCGGATACCGCTAAAGCCGATGACAGCGAGTGTCTGTTGAGTCAAAGGTTCTCCGCAGTTGGCTCGTCAAGCCTTGAAGTCAATCGTTCGGTTTACCGTCATGCTTCAGGGCAAGTTATCTGAGGCGGACCGTCTGTACCTTCGAGCCATCGAGATTGGGGAGAAGACGTTGGGCCCTGATCAACTGGGGCTTGCCACCATGCTCAACAACCGGGCGTTGTTTTTGGAGAATCAGGTGAGAGCTGACAAAGATACATCGCGGAAACGTGCGCGCTGGTGGGCTATAGATGCTGTAGTGCGGGCACGAGTATTCGGGATGTTTGAGCAATTTTGTAAGAATTCATGCAAGTGTTGATGCGATGTTTCCTAGCCCCGGGTGTGTAACAGTGGCAAGCATGCTGAGGGTGAGCCGCACAAAATGTCGCACTGTGCCTGGAACACCTAGGTGTGGCCCAATGGCTTAACAACCGGGCGAGCTTGCTGAGCGGTAGTTCCTCGGCGGTAGGCTTGACAAACCTTCACAGCGATGACACGTTTCCCGGTCATATTCTAGGGCTATTTTCCTGAGGCGGATCATCTGTACCTTCGAGCCATCGACATTGGTGAGAGGACATTAGGCCCTGACCACCCGGACTTCGCTGTACGACTCGGCAATAGGGCGTCATTGTTAGTTAAACAGGTGGGTTCTTGTTCTTGCACAGGGTTTCAGGAAGCCTCTCGTAGTCTTCAGCTGGAGGTCGAAGTGCCTCCAGGATGCGCCGGCTTTGAAGAGTTGTGTTGGCGATCTTGTAGGGTTCATGCCTGCGTTTGTGCAATGCATCGTATTTGGTGTGCCAAAGGCAAAAAAAGAAAAATCCCACCTGCTTGTTACGCACATAACCAACGAAGAGAAAATAATTGAAAAAATGAAGTAATACCATTCCAACCAGCATAGGATCATTCGTGGGCTGGGCAGTACACTGAGGCTAAGCCACTCTATGTGCGTTCAGAAGCCACACTAGATATGGCGCTCGGACTGGAGCGTCCGGATGTCGAAATGGACGACCGCGCGTGTCTGTTGAGCCATTGTTCCTCCCTGTAGGCTCGACCAACATTGAGTTCATTCCCTGAAACTTCCCCTCATGCTCCAGGGCAAGGATTCTGAGGCGGACCGTCTCTATCTTCGAGCCATCGAGATTGGGGAGAAGACGTTGGGCCCTTCCCACGTGCAGCTTGCCGCCATGCTCAACAACAGGGCGATATTTTTAACGAAGCAGGTGGTGACCTATGGATGTTGTAGTGCCGGCTGGAATATTCACTATCGTCGATGGATTTGAGGGATATTATTGGAAGTTCCTACGGTTAGTACACAAGTGTTGGTGCTATACTTCGTTTCTGGTGAAACATTGCCTAACACAAAGCCCGGTCCCTGCAACAATGGCCAGCACGCTGAGGCTGAGGCTGAGGCATACGATAGAACTCACTGTACCTGGAACTGTGGCTGAACCGCTCAACAGCCAGGCGTGGGTGTATAGCGGTTGTTCCTAGACAGTAGGCTTGACTAGCCTTGATGCCTAGGCCATTGCGTTCCCCTTATACTCCAGGGCAAGTATTCTGAGGCGGACCCTCTGTACCTTCGAGCTATCGACATTGGGGAGAGGACATTGGGGCCCGACCACCCGGATTTTGCTGTATGGCTCGGCAACCGGACGTCGTTGTTAGAGAAACAGGTTAGAGGGCATGGCAATTTGTTTGGAATATTTTATCCATTGTAATGTTTTGTTGGAAGTTGAATTTCAGGCAGGATGTCCCTGTTCCGGCGAGATTTTGGTATGCAGCCTGGCTGAACTACGCACTTGCTGAAGCTCAGTGCTTGCCTGTTGTGCCGAGCGACCGAACCAGCGTCAGCCTTTGACTTGTTGCCATGTCGGGCATTCGGTTGTTTAGCAGAAACCACACGAATGAATATTGGAACCCACCGTAAACCGTCCACGACAGGGAAGGTACAGGGAAGCAATCCCACTCTTGGAGAGGATCGTTTCATCCCAGACGAAGAATCTGGGAGAAAATCATCACGACACGGTCGACGCTCGGAATAGACTGAAGCGTATTCAAAAGCACACGATGTCAATCGCCTACCTCAAGAACCTTCGAAAATGACGTAAGTTTTGTATATCCTCAAGGAGTTGATGACGTGGTCTGTCGTTTTCCTCTAGAACGGCGGTCCACAGTGTTGCTGGTAGCCATACACGGACCTTGATTTACAATTCCAAGTGTTGAGGGGCATTCTAGCTGAAATCGGGGCCCCGCGAAGTGGTGCCGCGTATCCTCGTTTCGCCATCACT